GACCACGGAAAATCGGTTGCAACCGAAAGGAAATTCTCGGGCATCGGTCGGTACTCAATCGGTGGTAACCGAAGTTCGATTTGCCGAGGCCCCCGACCGAATCAGCGCTTTCGGTTACGGTTGGAAGCCCCGAAAATCGACAGCCACCGAAAATCGGTCGGCAATAACCGACCGAATTTTCGGGGGTCCTCGCGGTTCGGTGGCCACCGACCCACTCTTGTGATGAGCATTTCAAAAGTGTCCGTCAGAATATTGGTGCGTATTTGCGGCGATCCGAATGCCTCAATATTGTCGGCTTAAACTCGTCTAGCACGCAGAATGATACCTCGCTGCGACGAATTCTTGCGTTAAGCGATCACAAAATTACATCTTCTTCGGCGAGTGCTTCTCTGCGATGCTTACTGATGAATTAAATCTGAAGTGCAATTACATCCGGTATCCTCATCTTCTTCTTTTCCTCATTTGTCATTCCATTGTGTTTGTTGACTAATTTCCGTTGACTGAAACGTCTAGGAATTTACTACTGATTAATCATTTACCAAATTGCCAACGATCTGTCAGATAATGATGTTTACATCCTCTCAGTACTGTTATGATTCATCACACTAATCAATTAACAATTCGTTAGTCATTGTCAAACTGTTTATCAGTGGATTCATGAACAGGAATCGTCGCACAAACAAATAAATTTCAAAGCGTCGTTTAATTGTTGGTTCAAGCTGATTCTAGCACTACACTCTCGCATCTATTGAATTTTGAAATCTTGTCGGTTCAGACCTTTGTTTATTCGGAATCAATATGCTTCGGCTATTGTTCAACACGCGCTAATTCTTTTAAAGACTGTAATAAGTACAACACTTATTTTGAGTCTTTCTTATTGTTCTAAGGCTTATTGACTGAAGATATTAATGAAACGTATGCAGCGCGATTTATTCAAGAACATTTCTTGTCTAAACCGCAAAGTTAGGTAGATCTTCATTCTCATTCTGTTTTCTTCATCTTTACATAAATATTGTCGCTTTTTAACACTTCAGCATTGCTGCTAATCGATCACTTTTGTTGATTGTGAGTAATAAGCAATAAAATAGTGTGATAGCACTTTCATGTGTACAACTTGAATGAAAAGTTTGTTCGATTGATTCGTCAGTTTACCAACAAATATCATATAAATAACGTTCGCTTTAATACTCTTTCCGCATTGCACTGTCACCATCTTTTCGAACGCTCTTCACTTCAGCAACCACAAACACAACAAATCTCCACTTTACGATTCATTTTTCTCAAAGCATTACTCATTATTTCCGCCGACAATTTCCTGAACACATCGGATTCATTACCCATTTGTTTCATAATTCTTATTTTCATTCGAATATCCAGCGCGTTTTAAACACTTCTCAAAATAACAACTTCAGCAGTATTTTATATTTCATGAAGATTTTAACAACCATTAGAATTTGTTTGAAATTCCGAGGAAAATTTGAACGAATTCATGAAAAGTGACGGCGTTAACTCATGCCACAACAAACGTTCATCACTTCATGTCGTAAACTTGAGTCAACGCCGTTTCGAAGGCGTGATGGTTCTGGACCGAAGAAAGCATCAACGATTTCGTAAACTTTATTCCTGTGACTAATCAATGAAGTAATAACGAAATAGTATGATGCGGGATGAATGTGTGCACTTCGAGTCGTGTTGATGAATAACTGACGAAATTTTAGTGCAAATTTCGTCACAATGTCATCGTTCCCACACACCTTCCAAGGAACAATCAAGCCGAAGGCAAATTTCAATGCTGATATCGTGGCCGAGGAGTTGGAGAATGCTATGAAAGGGAAAGGTTGCGATAAGATGAAAATCATCCAACTGATCATTCACATCAATAATGCGCAACGACAAATGGTTTGCAATATATTTATTTGTTCCAACAGAATAATATGGGGTGGTTGAAGTCTGCAAACAATTTTGGTTCATGATTTCTGTTGAGGGAATCATCAAGTTTGGCACGGGTATGCAACATGAAACTAATTTTGGTTGCAGATTACCTTAAATACAGACTTAACTGTTCGACTTAACTGTCTGAGGTTGTTATTTGCAGTTTACTAAGCGAAACAAACGTAAGTTCAAAGATAAAATTGCTCCGAAAGTTTGACAGCGGCGTAAATTCTATGCTTTTAGGTTCTGACGCCATACCAACGCAAATTCGATAAGGAACTCATACCGGAACTGAAGAAAGAATTATCTGGTGATTTCGAGGATGTGATTATCGGTCTTATGGCAACACCTACGTTATACGATGCCATCCAGATGATGGATGCAATGAAGGTGCTTCTCAGTGGTCCAATAAATGGACTCTGTTTTGTTTTCGAATGCCATTAGTTTATGCATCTTGTTTTTGCTGTCTCGAGGCAC